GCTTGGTAGAAAGTTTTGGAGTCAGGAATTATGAATTTTAAGATCAGCTTTTCCAGTTCTGGGGGGAAGTATTGGACTTTTGGTAGGATTGCGTTAAATCTGTAGCTTGCTTTGGGTAGTATTGCCACCTTAACAGTGTTAGGCTCCCTCAGCCTTGAGCGTGAACTAGCTGTTCCTTTATTTAGATCGTCTTTAATGTCTTCAGCAGTGTTTTATAGTTTTCACTATAGAAGTCCTACAGTGTTTACGTCTTGGTTAAAATTCTTCCTATTTCTTTTGAATGTTTTTCTAAATGGAATTATTTTCATAATTTTATTTTGAGACTGTTCATTGCTACCGTACAGACATAGAACTGATTTTTTTGCATGTTGATCTTGTACCTTGCATATTTGCTGATTATATGAGTTTTTTATTTGGGGGTTTCTTTATGTGGACTTGTTAGGATTTTCTGTATATAAAGATTACATCATCTGCCAGTAGAGGTAGTTTTACTTCCTTTCCCATTTGGATGCCTAGATTTTCCTTTCCTGCCCAGCTGCCCGTTCCACTACAGTGTGGATTAGTGTTGGCAAACGAGCATCCTTGATTTTGAGAGAAGCGTCCAGTCTCTCAGCATTGACACTGACTAATTGTGGGTTATCATGTGTGTTATATTGTCCTTTAGTCTATCAAAACAGTGTATTCTGTTAGTTGATTTTATATGTTGAACCACCCTTTCATTTCTGGAATAAATCTCACTTGGTGATGGTGTGTGATCATTTTAATATGCTGTTGAATTCAGTTTGCTAGTATTTTGTCTGGGGATATTTACATCAGTATTCATCAGGGATATTGGTTTGAGTTTTCTCATATGGTCTTTGGCTGGCTTTGGTATCTGGGTAGTGCTGGCCTCGTAGATGAATTTGGAAGTCAGGCTCAGGCCATTGTGTGTTGGAATCTCTTCTTGGCACTTTCTGGGGCTGCTCATACTGCTCCCCAAGAAACCCAACATCTGGTCACTTCTCAGCCTCTTCTGCACTGGACCACAATTCTGGTCATAGATATTTAGTCCATCTTTGTGGAGATTCTGCTGCCCTTGACCTCCAACTTGTGGGGTGGTGGTCTTGGGAAGAAAGGAGTCTTTACCCTGCTGACAGTGTTCCCCTATGACCAACATTTCATTTGTCATCCTAAAGAGCCTCTGCTATGCTCACAGGTACTGTTCCCGTCTCCCCGTTTCACAAAAACTGGCCCTGGCTGGCCTCCAGCCTGTGCTGCGCTGGGTCCAGGTCCTGGTGCTGAGGAGGCAAAAGGGTTTTATGGAAACCTGGGCTGTCTGCCCAGTGGCGTGCTCTTTTAACTAACCCCGGCCTTCTCCAGGAACCACATGTTAGGTTGTGGATGCAGCAGGCAGGGTGCCCACCGGACCAGCATGGCCTTCTGCTGGCGTGTGGGCAGGAGCTGCTTGGACTTGGGGGCGCAGCCAGGTTAGCACTGAGGCAGCATTGCCTCCAGGGCAATATTCTGCCTCTGCACCTGCGGCACCCACCCTGGGTGAAGCTGTTGCTTGGCGGGACTCCTGGGAGGTGGTTCCACACACACACTTAAGCGTCCGTACTTGGATGCCATATTTGCAGATTTCTTGCAGATCACTGAAATTTACTTATAACTCCCAAGTCAACACTGTGTGCTTTCACAGTCCTTTGCGGGCTTGTGCAGAGCAGCAAGGTGTTTGAGTTCAGCATGCTGGCTCCCAGCAGAGCAGGATGTGGTAACACCCATCTCCTTGTTTCAGCTCGCACTGTGAACATGTGTCTTTCTCACTGTTTCTTTTTTTAAATTATTTTATCTTTGGCTGTGTTGGGTCTTTGTTGCTGCATGGGCTTCTCTCTAATTACTATGAATGGCGACCACTCTCTAGTTATGGTGTGCTGGCTTCTCTTTGCTGTGGTGTCTTGTTGCAGACACGGGCTCCAGGGCCTGGGTTTCAGTAATGGTGGTGCACAGGCTTAGCTGCCCCACAGCACGTGGGATCTTCCCAAAGCAGGGATTGAATTGGTGTCCTCTGCATTGCCAGGCAGGTTCTTAACTAACTGGACCATCAGGGAAGCACCCCACTGTTGCTGAGGGCCATGTGTTTCATGTTTTGTGCTTCTTTGTGATGGTTTTGCTATTTAAAGTGGGCTCTGGGCCTGGTTCTGAGAAGGCCTGGAGTGTTCTAGGCACGAAGGTTGTGATGTGCCTTATGGGGAAAATACAGGCATGAGTTCTATGTTAATGAATAAACAGTATAGGTTAAGTTGTCTTTAATCAAAAAACACATAAGACAGGGTATGTGTTGATCAGCTGGTAAGCCCTACCCTGTGTTCCCCTAAGACAGTGGCTCAGTAGCCGCCAGCCTGATGTCCCGTCTGGTCTGGCTCAGCTCGGGGCTCTGACTGAGTCACAGCTGTGTCAGGCACCTCTCGGGAGCAGTGGTGCTGTGCTGTAGCAGGAAGCATGTCCCTGAGTTACACTCAGACAGGAGTGGGGTCTCTGCCTGAGCGGGGAGGGCATCCCAGGACACTGACGGGGAGACCTGGGGGGCCAGTGACGATGATGGGTGTTTGGGGGGCATTCATAGCCACAACAAGGCTGCAGAGGATCGGTCTGGAGGCTGTGCCACCACCCAGGTTGTAGCTGCTGGCTTCTGCCTGTATGTGGACTATGCTCATGGATGGTTGGGGAGTATGGGGGCTCAGGACGGTCCTGGCGTCCCCTTGAAAGGTGGCCCTGGAGTTGAGTCCCCATCCTGCTGAGGTACCACGTGACTGAGGGCCAGGCACCCCAACAGGAGCACAGTGCTCCTCCTGCTTGGTGGGCACCTGTGAGACCTCACAGGGGAGAGTCCCAGTGTAGTGTATCATCACAGCCACCCTCCCACCCTTAGAAAAGGAAGCCTGTCTTTCTAGGCAGGTGCCTTGAGCTCTCGTTATTGCCATGGGCACAGGGAGGGCACATTTTGATGCTTGGTGCTCATGGAGGGGCGGAGAGGTGGGATGAGCCTGCCTGTGAGGCAGGCTCTCTGCCCAGACCTCAGTCCCAGTCCCACACCTGCTGTTCACTAGTGTGGTTATGGTTGTGCTGTTTCTTCAGCGACTCATTTGGGTTGGATGTGGAGTCCTGGGGCAACACTGCGTATTTAGGTGACATCCCACCTGCTCGCTGTGGCCTAAGTGCCCCTTTGCCGTCTTCCTTCTGAGACTTTTCTGCTCCTCTCAGGCTCCCTCACTGCCCAGGTCCTTTCCTTTCACCTTTCCTAAGGGTTTACAGATCAGTTAGTGGAAGACCCTAGGCTCAGCATGGCCTAGGAACCACACCATGCCTGCTTGAGAATCCGGGACCCAGGCCCCACCTACAGCCGTGCCTCCCATAGAGCAGGCCCTGCTGCCCTGCCCCACCGCACCAGCCTGTTCTTCCAGTCACATGATTTTTCAGGCTTTCACCATTTGTCCTGATCTACTGTTAACTCCATTCTGCTCTGATTCATTGCTACATCCTCCTGAAATAGCATTTTTATTCAAGCCAGAATTTTGTGGGATGTCTTCCAAACTCGCCAGGGCTCTCTCTGTGTCTCCACCATGGACTACAGCAGTGAAGTGTGTGTCCTGCTGGAAGAACCCAGACTTCATTGCAGTGCTGCCCCCGCACCACACAGGTCCTTATCCATGAAGGTGACACAGCAGTCATTCTCAAGAGATGACGGTGGAGATGGCAGAGGCCCCATGGTAACCAGGGTCCAGCTGCCAGTCCCCTTGTTCCCTGAAAACATGATCGTATGAATTTTCCTATACAAAAGCCTACTGGGAATTTAATTGGAATGGTGTTGAATCTGGAGATGAGGGTGGGGCAGTGTTGGAACTCCCCTTTCTCTGACCTCAGGGTGTGTTCTGTGGCTTCCCATTTGTTTCAATTTGCAAACTGCCCCCTACCCCGTGTCTCTTCACTTAGCTTCAGGTTCCATTTCTTAGAAGGAAATTCTGTAGTCCCCCTGTGCTAATAACTAAAGCGATACATTAGAATACCTAGAGTTGTAAAGCTTGGTGTAAACCCCTTATGCTTATAGCTCTTATGCAGCATGTAGAGCAAACTGTCATGAGCTACTGCAGCATTAACATCAAGTTACTAACATCAGGGAAGCAAGACAGCACACGTCACTGCCAGGACTCAGGCATGCTCGTGAGATGAGGTCGCTGTTCCAGGGTCTTTGGGTGCACATCTTTCTCCATCTGGCCGCCTGCTGCCATGGTCCTGAACCTCCCTTGGGGCCCGAAGGGACTGGGTAGGGGGGCAGGGGTCTTCCTGGACAGGATGCTGCCTCTTCAGGTCGCTCCTCCAGCACACACCCTGCCCTACCCCCACGCCCCCTGTGGTAAATAGCCCAGGCCCAGTCTGCCTTCCCACTTGAAGGAAGAGCACTTCTAGGTGTGGGATGACCTTCTTCAGTTCATCTGTTGCGGTTTGCCTGGTTATGCAGAGCATGAGGCAGGCGTGATCAGAGGTGGTGGAGGCCCTTGTGCCAGTGGGAGTCCGGGAGGAGGTAGGGCCTCTCCATAATGAAGACCAGAGCGAGGACGGGCTTGGGTGGAGAGGTGTGGGGAAGCCAGCCTAGGGCTCTCTGGAGCTCCCTCCCCTGACAGGCTTGGAGCAGGTGTGTGGCTCAGATGCAGGCTCAGCTTGCTACACCCCAGTCCCCTCCTGGGCTTGGGGGCCCTGCATCGAGGAGAAGCCAGTAGCGGCCCCTTGGCCAAAACAGTAGAGCCATCTGCCCTGTGTCCTACCTCTGCCTCAGTCCTCCGCCCTCTGCCCTCCGCCCTTCAGCAAGGCAACCCACCATTGGAAGCAATAAACAGATGCTGTGCCTTCATAGAAAGACTCACTGTTCACACCGTTAACATGTGGTGGGGTTTCTGATCCCCAGGGGCCTGGCAGGGACAAGCGTCCACCCAGACGCACTGCTCTGACTCACTGTCTCTCTGCAGCAGCAGCGAGTCCCCTGCACATGCTGGCGACACATGCCTCCGCCTCCGCCTCCCTGCCCACCAAGCGCCAGAACGGCGACCCAGCGGAGCAGCCGGAGCTGAAGCGGGTCAAGACAGAAGACAGCGAGGGCCTCGTCATCGCCCTGAGCGTGGACGCGCCGCCGGCTGCCATGCGGGAGAAGGGCGTCCAGAACTAGCAGCCGGGAGAGCATTTCTCACTTTAACGTCAACTCTGTGGTGCCAAAAGGAGACACTGCCTCTCACCGACGCTCGGAGCGTGTTCCCTCGGTGGGTAGAGGGCCCTGCGGTTGGACTTCACCTCAGCACTGGAAACACAAACCCAGGTGGCCTTAAAACTCCTTAAGTTAAAAGACTGAAGTCGCCCCTGAACACCAGAACCACAAACAGCAAAGCCGGGCTCCGGCAGTGTCTCCCCGCCCAGTGTTCAGCTCAGCTCCCAGTAGAGGCTCACGGTCCTTCCCAGGGAGGACACGCCCAGCGCGAGCACACCTGCTGGGCCTGGGCCGGAGCCACCCCACCGCCCGCTGCCAGTAGACAAGACAGTATTTTGTTGTTCACATGTGGAATTAGAGTATTTTGAGGTGTACTTTCTTTCTTTACAAAATAATGGGGTCTTTGACATTTCAGATCACTCCATTTCTACTCTGGAAATTTTGGAATCACACAGGACATTTTGTGTGGATTTCATTTGGGGAGAAGAAACAATGTAGTTTTGTTTGTTTTTGTTGTTTGTTTTCAGCCTATGGAATGATTTACTTTTGTCTGTCCTGTTTAAGTCAGATGGAGCTACTTGACATCTGCAAATTTCCCATGTGAGAGCAGTTACCTGATGAATTTAATCCTCCATTTCCATGTGTAGGACGGACATACAGACGGACACCCGCGGGCCACTTGTAACCCTGACGGAAAGAGCTGCCAGGCTCCTGGAGCTGCACTTACCCATTTCTCTTTCTTGCTACTTTTTGTTGTTTGTTTCTTTGTGTTGACTTTGTCCCTGGCATAATTTTCCACTCTAAGTAAAACAAGTCTCCTACGTATTGTGTATGTTTAAAACAACAGAACTGTTACTCCTTCATTTGGAAAAAAAAGATTCAATCTTTTATCACACCTTTTTCAAACAAAGGTCACAGATTTCTCCGTGACACGTTCACTATTTTAGGTGCCGTCACCAGCTCTTGGCATCGTCCAGCCAGCCGGCCACCCCGTGATGTTGTGGTTTGCCCCCTCACGGCAGGAGCGGCTGCTGGGGTGGGGCAGAAGCTGCCTGGTTACACGAGGGTCTTGGAAGCAGGCGCCCTCCGTCCGGTAAGCATTGGAAACACCTAGGTTGCTTTCTGATTTGTAATAGGAAATTCCCCTCAACCTTTTAGAACTGAATCTAATACTAAGGCTGACTTCTCTCCTATAAAAAATAAAAGCGAGAGATAAAAAATAAAAGCGAGAGAAAAGGAAACAAAGGTGAGAGAATGAAAACTCAGAGGCCCACTCGGCCTCAGCCCGCGTTCCTCTGGAAGAAAGCCACTCACCTTTCCAGAGGTTTCTGGGGTCAGAGCTGAGCAGCATGCAAACAGAAAGAGGGCTCTGGCCTTATTGTGCATTTTTAAATGTCATCATCATAACGTTATTTATTTAAATGTAGTTATTTTGGTATTTAATTTTTTTTAAAGAGAGGAAAAAAAAAAAACCCCTGTATTTTCCTGGTGGAATGAAACGGCTCAGAATGGTATATTTAGGCAATTTTAAAACATTTATTATTTACCTAAAGACCAAATATGATAAATCTGTTCTAAGTATTGTGTGTCAATCCACGGTATGGAGCTGTCACAATGTTATTGCAGATAATGCATATTAAAATTATGAAATTACTGCACACTAGCTGGATTTATAACTCAGCCATTTAAAAAATAAAAACAAAACCATCATGTGAATGAGACCACGTGTGTGACAGTAGCAAAATCTAACTTGCAGACTGAAGCACGGACGGATCAGAGCACCTCAGGGCAGCAATCTACATCTCCCAGGCACTTTACAGATACCTTGGAATGTATATTTTTATTTGTCTTTTTACACAGAAGGTTTGCAATTTGAAAAGTAATTCAGATGTGCTGTGTCCTGTTTGTGGGGTTGGGTCACTCTGCTGAGAGTGCTCCAGACCTGTCAGTCATGGGCCACTGCAGCCCCCCTGACCGTGAGCTCTGGGGAGGTGAGTGGACAAGACCACCTTGGTAGGGAGACGACTCAGGTGACACTAAGCAGATGTCTTGTGTGTTGCCCAGGAGATGCGTATCCACCACCATCCCAAAAGACCGTGGTAGACTTTCCCTGTGTAAGCCCAGTCTATCAGTTGATTACTTCTGAGCCTAAAATGTAGACTTTTGGGGTTTGGAGGGGTTTCTGCTGGGTAAGAAAAGTACCCTGTTCTCAAATCTAAAGGGAGAAGGATAGTTTTGCTGCCGGGAGCTAGAGCATGTCTTTTTCAAAGGCGAGGCGTTCTCTTTCCTTTTTCCTGCTGTCTTGGCTCATTCATTGGCACATAGATATTTAAGAATATCAAGGAAAAGGCAGGGGGATAAAATATAGATTAACAAACTGCCATGTCCTGGGCAGTTTTTAAAATGTTTGAATTTAGCTGTGAATTCCGTTTAACACCTGGGAGTCACTGAGCTTGTGTCCTTGTGGCCCCACTTGATGCCTGGTGCTACATCAACAGTCACGTTGCACTTAACTCCTGCCCAGCAGTCTACTGGTGGTTCCTAAATGTCATTTCAGAAAGTCTCTGCTTTGACCTTTGCCAAACTTCTGAGCTCCCTCAGGGACTAGAAACTTCATTTCAGCAGCTTCTCCCTGAACCAGACAAAAATACAAAAGGGAAACTCATATGTGATCCAAGTGATGTGGCGCATCCCAAGGTGTCCGTGCATGATTTAGGGTTGATCTTCCTCTCGTGTCAGTAGAGTCTCCACTCAGACAGTTGAGCTCCTTAAATGCATCACCCCTCACATAGTCCTCTCCTAGAACAACAGAGTAGGCGAGGCCACGGTCAGAAGGGGGTGGGGCGTGTCAGGACTTGGGATTTCTGTGCTATGCGATTACAAGGAGACAAGTGACAATCTTCAAGTCCTAACCTCCACTATTCTAGAAAGTATAGTGGTGATTTGTGTGCAAAGGTTTGAAATTTTAAAAGTACCAAGTTCCTGAAATTCAATAAAATATTTTTATTAATTTTAATTGAATACAGAGTATCATTGTCATTTTGATAAGCTTAAGCAGGCACTGCTTTTTTATATGCTCCTTTCCGAGCACGCCAAAGGCCTAGGTAGCACTGGAGCATGTGTTCCAGGACACTGCTGTGACAGCATCAGTACAGGCTCCTTGACCCACCAGGAGAAAGGGGGCACCGAGTGTCTGCGTGGGAAGAGGGAGTTGGGTCACAGGCCGTGATGACAAAGTCTTGCTGGCTGTTATCCATCCTGTTGGAGTTTTAAAACTAACTTTGAGGTTATGGTTGTAGCTGCCATTTCTTCTGATTTACTCCTGAGCCTGAGATACATTCTCCCATGAGATGAAAATTGTGTCTAAATTTAGAGGCACATAGGTACTCCAGTCCCCAAGTCACTGTTAACACTTAGATTGTCCAGCTACTGAAAAGTTTGTGGCACAGATTGCTGATGTCCTAGGGGGTGGTAGGAGAAAGGAGGAATACTGAAATGACGCCACAGAGGCCTCTTTGGGAGATAACTGAAGCTCAAGGACAGAGTTCACAGGGAGTTTTGTTCTTGACATTCATGTCCTAATATAAAAACAGTTCATATTAGCATAAAAGAACTGCTCCTCATGTACTGAGACTGTCTTTCCTAATGGAAACATCCCTAAATATTTTTTCACATCTGTTGTCCATGCTGTATTAATAGATGCTTTAGGATGTGTTAGGTCTTACCTCCCCCTTCTCACTCAGGAAAAACTACGATAGTTACTAGGATCACCTTGTTTAAGTTAAACTGAGTCAAATAAGACGGGACAGGTATCTTAGAGAATAACCTACCTTTACCCAAGGAAAAGTTGTTGTAAGGGACTTACCTGGTAGTCAACTGGCTAAGACTTCCAATGCAGGGGGCCTGGCTTCTATTCCTGGTTTGGTCCCACATGGCCTAACTAAGTCCACATGCCACAACTAAGACCCGGTGCAGCCAAATTAATTAAATACTTTTTAAGAAAGATGTTGAAGGAAGCCTTTAGGTATAGGAAACAATTCAGTTAACTGATAAAGAGTTTCTTCATGTAGCAAAAGCCAAGCTATTGTGAGAAGGCCCACATTTAGGCCATATTTTGTGTGTAAGGAAGACATTTGTGGGGGCATTCCCTGGCATCCAGTGTTTAGGGCTCCACGCTTCCACTGCCAGGGGCACAGGTTCAATCTCTGGTCACTGAACCAAGATCCCGCATGCAGTGTGGTGCAAGCCAAGGCAGAAGAAAGGAAGGTATTGGGGCATGTTATGTATCTCTGTGTAGTCACCATATAGTAAGTTGAGGCCTAAACATGGGAGGTGAAGGAATCTGTAGTATGGAGTGGTGTAAATGGTGGCCTGCTGGCCAGCATTTACTGCAGGTCTTTGTGGAATACTGTGCTGACTTGACATGTCTCTTGTGACCTCTCCCTCCATGTTTATGTGCACAGCAGTGCAAAATTAGATTTTAACATGGGTCTCAGGTGATCTCTGATGAGATGACTAAAGCTGCGGGCACAAAATTTCTGATTTTAGAAATGTCCTGAGGTCCCACACTCTGCCCTATGTCTCAACCATTGGCTGAATAAATAAAGCATCTATCACAGTTCTCTGCAAAAAGAAATAGGAGCAGGAGTATTAAAACTGTAAGAACAACCAGTGTGGTGACCATTTTCTTGAATTTTTCTTCCCTCTTGTGTCTCTTAGTGTAGACTCCAGGACAGCCTGAATGTAAGAGCTGCATCTTACTAATGAACAGAATACCCAAGAGAAGCCCTCTCCCCATGAGGAAAGGGGGGACCCATGTGGGACATGGGGAGGGGAGTCACAAACCTATACTTCTAAGCAGTAGCCCTGGAGACAGTGAGGACTCAAAAGAGGAACTAGGCAAGGGGACTTCTTTCTAGTCCAAAGAAGGTCAGGGAGAGGGGAGGGCAGAAATACTTTTCTTT